CAGAGACTCTTTTTTCATTATTTTTTCGAAGAAAATTACATTTACATTTTTTTGTCAACAATGACATGTATTGACTATTTTCATGCTAAATATCTTGAGAACGGTTGCTCGTAGCGATTTTTACCAAGAAATATACAATGTAGAAAATCAGGGAAATGTATATTTTTTCATTCAGTAGTTTTAGACAGGCATAGAAAAACAGTTATTGCTCTTCAAAACAGTTAAAACACATGTACGTGGCGCCCCTACAAATAGGAACACAACTTTTTTTGACATCAAAATCAAATTTCTCATGTCAAAAAAATTCCAGACACCAAATCCAAATATTGACGTTACTTCAGAAATTATATGGAAAAAATCGAAATAAAAATGAAATTTCTACACCCTAAATCTCCGAAACTAGGCATTTCGGGACATACATTTATACGAACTTTTTTAGTTATTTTTATCTGCAGAATATGTTGCCGGAGTTTCCCGAATACCGTTCGGACCACCGTGTTTATTAAATTAATTTGCTTTTAGTCTGCATGGATTTTAAAATAGATTACTGTAATATTTGTGTAGCAAAACTTGTTGATATATAATTAAATGTCATATACTGTATAAATATAGAAAATCCAATTTCTAAACATCATACATAAATTTAATTTTAAGTTTGTTTATTTTGAAGAGTGGATTGAATCATAAAATCAAACTAAAATTATTTTAGTAATGCTATTTGATTAGGATGAAACTAAATTAATATTTGTATAAAATTTATTATTATATAATGTACAGGGTGGGTCAAATTCGAAGCTTTTAAATGGAAACACCCTTTTCTATAGGAGATAGACAAAAACTAATATCGGTGTCTGGAGCGCAATTTTTGTCAAAAAAATGATGGTGAAAATCGCACATCGATATCTGTTACCGTTTCGGAGTTACGGGGTGTTTTTTCAAAAATATGCATTTTTAACAAATCGCTGTAACTTTTTTACTATGGAAAATTTTGTATTTTTATGAAAACATTTCCAAAGCACCTTTTTACGTAGAATTTAATGGTTAAAGTATAATTTTTTTAAAATTAATAATTTAAGAATTATCAACTGAAAATTTTATTTTTTATATGGGACACCCTGTATATTTTTAATTAACTGAAAAGAATTTAAAATTACCTTTCCAAAAATATAGCATACTTGATATTTTGTTATAATCCCCTTCGAAATACAGAATTTTTAAAAGTTTGCCACTTTTAACTAGTAGGCTTTGGACCCCTCATTGATAATATGCCCTTAATGGAACTCGAGAACATATTTTGCCAGCAAGACGACGCACCGCCTCTGAACGCTGAAGTTATCAGCAAATTTCTGCAGCCAATTTCAAGAATAATTGAATAGCTGACCAAGAACCCAGCCGTTGGCCGTCGAGGCCGCCTGACTTAGTGCCCATGGATCTAATCCTATGGATATATATGCGGAAGAATAAAGGTTCTTTATTCTTCTGTATAATCTAGACAAGAATTAGAAATACTTAGCAGTTAGGAGAGGGTATCTTTCCCCCCCACTGAGTTAATGAATTCCGCGAGAAATGTTCAAAAACTGCCCGTCTGTCCATAACAGAAGACGATCGATATGTCGAACACCTGTAGCAAAATCTCATGTCCTGGTTTGCTATTTATTTTTATTGTTATTAGATATAGTTTAAATGTGTTGATGTTGGTTAAATATATTTTAAATTGTTATAAATTTCTGCATCTCTCATAGCAAATATTATTTTCGTTTTAATTGATGCTCACAGCTAGAATTTTTTTGCATTACAGCCGGTGCCGTTCAATGCCTACTTATTTAAAGCGGGCAAATTTTTATATACTCTATATCTCGAAAAGGAATCGAGCAAAATATCAAGTGTGTTTTGGTAATATCAAGATATTTTTGGAAAGGTAATTTTAAATTATTTTCAATAAATTAGAAATATACAGGGCGACCCATATAAAAAATCAATTTTTCTGTTGATAACTCTTAAATTATTAATTTTAAAAAAATTATACTAAAACAATTAAATTCTACGTAAAAAGGTGCTTTAGAAATGTTTTCATAGAAATATAAAATTTTCCATAGCAAAAAAGTTACAGCGATTTGTTAAAAACGCACATTTTTGAAAAACACCTCGTAACTCCGAAACGGTAACAGATATTGACGTGCGGTTTTCACCATCATGTTTTTGGTGAAAATTGAGCTCCAGACACTGATATTAGTTTTCGTCTATCTCCTATAGAAAAGGATGTTTCCATTTAAAAGCGTCGAATTTGACCCACCCTGTACCAGTTTATTGACTGATCTTATGAAACGATAATGAAGAGAGACTTAAAATATGTTAACATCATTATGTTAATTGCCAAAAAACTAACAAATATCTTTAATATCAATTAGCTAATTCTACGAAATTCCAAGACGAATGCAGAGAAATAAATTAAAATTGTTAAATAGGTATATTTTTCTCTTGTAATTTTTCATTTTCCAAATGCATTTAATAACTCACTGTCAACAGCTACTTTCATTTATTATATTTAGAGATAAATATAAATCATAGATCGGAAAGGAAAGAAGTGACAATCATAAAACAAAGAATTATGTTGAAGATACTTGAATCTTAAATATGCGTTTATGTACTATCTCGCACTACATATACAGATAATGTAAAATTTATATAGTTTATTAGACTTTATTTAACTAACAAATAACTTAAATTTAATGTATAATATTTATACAGGGTGGCGCACCTCATTCGCCTCGGTTGATTATACGAAAACGGAAAGATGTAGAAACAAAATATTTTATGGCTATATGTAGAGGGACAATGTGCATAATGTAAAATTATTTTGAAATGTACAGGGTGTGTCAGAACTAAGATCCATACCAAAGTTATATTTTTTCTTATGGAACACCCGGTATTTTATTTCATTTTTGGATTCTTGGGCATAAAATAAGGCATTTATTATAAGAGTTTGATATGTCTAAAAGCTTTGGTTATGGAGATATTTAAAGATATTTAAATATGCATGCTATAATAAAAAGGTTTGTCAACACCTTGTACATTACTTTTCAGAATTAATTCTGGTGCTCACTTTCAGGCCAGAGAAATAAACTTTACTACAAAATTTGATTGCTTTCTTATATAGGGGTATCAAAAATTGCTGGTCTATTTTAACTATTTATTTTACATAAAAACTTCGTTATTTCAAATGCAACACTATGTATTTTTTTATATAAGTCGAAGCAGATTTAAATACTCTTTCAAACTTTATTAGGGTTTCCTATACCTATCAGTTCAGATTTTGAATAAAAAACGATTTTTCGATAAAATTGTAATCAAGATGGCTGGTGTCGCCATGGCAATTTTCTAGTAACACTTAGTAGCTATTTTCAAAATCGACATTAGTTTATGGACTTTATTTAAATTTATAACAGTTTACTTTTTACCTAATTTACCTACATTAGTTTAATAAGTAAGCATTTATTATTTTGTCAAGAAAAATAAAGAAGTAGTTCTTTGATGTATATTACGATGACTTGTGGATATATTGGATTTTCTATAAAATAACCAATTAAAGCAAATTCATTTTCTTCACTTCCGACGACAGGTTTCTGCCTAATAGGTTTTTCATCAGCTCTGCGAAATAGGAAAAGTAGTTTTTCAAAGGAACGCTTATCAGGAAGATTCCTATTTGGATATCTTTGAGCATAAACCCTTCAGGCCAACAAGCAATTGTCCTCACAAAATAAAATCACTAGTAACATATGCATTCCTTCCTCCAGCAGATACTGCTTCATTTTTCTTGATAAAATAATAAATACTTACTTATTAGTATTATTGTAGGTAAATTAATTAAAAATAACCTGTTATAAATTTAAATAATGTCCATAAATTAATGTCGATTTTAAAATAGCTACTAAGTGTCACTAAAAAATTGCCATGGCGACACCAGCCATCATGATTACAATTTTATTGAAAAATCGCTTTTTATTCAAAATCTGAGCCAGATAGGTATAGGAAATCCTAATATAGTTTGAAAGAGAATTTAAATCTGCTTCGACTTATTTAAAAAAATACATAGTATTGCATTTGAAATAACGAAGTTTTTATGTAAAATAAATAGTTAAAATAGACCAGCAATTTTCTATACCCCTGTATACATTTAAGGAAGCAATCAAATTTGTTAGTAAAGTTTATTTCTCTGGCTTAAAAGTCAGCATAAGAATTAATTCTAAAAAGTAATGTATAGGGTGCTGACAATTTTTTTACTATAGCACAAATAATATCTAAAAAAAACAACGCTTGTAAACATATCAAACCCTTATAATAAATGCCTTATTTTATGTCCAAGAATCCAAAAATGAAATAAAATACCGGGTGTACCAGAAGAAAAAATATAACTTTGGTATATATCTTAGTTCTGACCTCGGTTCTGACACACCCTGTACATTTCAAAATAATTTAAATTATGCACATTGCCTTCCCACATATACCCATAAAATAGTTTGTTTCTACATCTTATACTTATAGTGGGTAAAATTCAGCATTTAATTAATAATAATAATAATAGCTCCCATATATAGCGTTTAACGCCTTGGGAGTAGCAAGGTACAGCTTGCTATACTAGAGCCATTCGGTATACAAGGAAGGTAATGTGGCTAGCACTACGCTTCAACTGCCTATTATTACCTCAGGATTGTGAATCCCAAGTACTCATTTAAGGCTGAGTCGACCTAGGTACCCAAACTATTTTTATTTTAATAAAAATAGTCGGTTGATGAAATGCCGGGTGTGGGAATCGAACCCACTCCTTGAGATTGGTAGACGAGAGCCTGTACTTCTACGCCACCGGGCACCTTTAGTTAGCATTTAATTAACAAAAACCAATATATCCTTGGAAACATGCTGGACATTAAACCCACCCAAAATTGATAGCTTAGTTACAGAAATAAATCTCAATCTCACTACGTGTCCGTTCCGTTTTTCAGATCCTTCTAAATCTGGCGAGGAGCATCTTCGAGGAGCAAAACAATCTGGAATGTCTGGTCACGAAAATAATGAGAGAAGCGCAAGATCTATTGAAATGCGAAAGCTGTGCGGTCTACCTACTGGATTTGGATTGTTGCGAAGCGGTAAGTATTGAACGAAAGCTAACAATGAACATTATTTTCGACTAAATGTATGTACCTGTGTTGTTTGGTAATCGCCTTAAAAGAAAAATTTTGTTATTAAAGTGACAGTTTGGTTTGGTTTGTTTGTAATTTGGTTGGTTTGATTTTGTTGGGCATATTTGTAATGATCGCGATTCGGTTCTAGGCCGAACGATACCTTGTAAACAGCATACGATATCGCAAGATTTATTAATGGGTTGCTGGTAATCAGCACTCAGGATCGCAAATTTTGGTTTTCAACATAAATTAAACGAGCTAAAAATCAAAATAAGTTGCGGCCACCTCTTCCAATAACAATCACGAATATTTCTGCTTTACTTTGGTGATCGCACAACAAAATACACGTTGACGTGCTGTTGATTCATACAAATTTCGATAATTATAGAGAAATCAACAGAAAATAGATTCCCAGATGACACTATTTTATGTTCATCTAACTTACATACGTATGCAAATTACATAAAACAAAATAGAGATATAATATATTTTTCATAGAACTCAATATAAACTTCCAATACCTAACTTTTCTTAAAAAAAGATATGTGTCCATAACTATAAAAAATATTCAAGAAAGAACTAAGTTACAATCTTCTTGCACTAGAAAAAGTCAAATTTTACCTGCAAAGAAACTACACAAAGTGTAATTTTTGTTTTAAATTTTTTAAGTAAAGCTGGTCATTCTCTAAACATTGGGTAAAATGTCCTGGAATTTTAAAACATTCTGTAACTTATAAGAAGGAGAATGAAGAATATACAGGGTGGCGCACCTCATTTGCCTCGGTTGATTATACGAAAACGGAAAGATGTAGAAACAAAATATTTTATGGGTATATGTTAGGAGGTAATGTGCACAAATTAAAATTATTTTGAAATATACAGGGTGCTTCAGACCTAAGATCTATACCAAAGTTATATTTTTTTTATGGAACACCCGGTATTTTATTACATTTTTGGATTCCTGGGCCCAAAAAAATCCATTTATTATAAAGGTTAAATATTTTTAAAATCAGTGGGTTTTGAGATATTTAAATATATTTAAATTTGCATGCTGTTATAGAATAGATAATTAACACCCTGTACTTACTTTTCAGAATTAATTCTTGTGCTGAATTTAAAGGTAGAGAAATAAACTTTACTGGAAAATGTTATTGCTTCCTTAAACTTATACATTGGTATCAAAAATTGATGATCTATTTTAAGGATTTATTTCACATAAAAACTTTGTTATTTCAAATACAACACCCTGTATTTTTTATAATAAATCGAAACAGATTCAAATGCTCTTTCAAACTGTATTAGGGTTTCCTATACCTATCTAGCTCAGATTTTGAATAAAGAACAATTTTTCAATAAAATGGCAACCAAGAGGGCTAATATCGTTATGGCAAGTTTCTAGTGACAGTTAGTAGCTATTTTCAAAATGGAAATTAGTTTATGGGCTTATTTAAATTTATACCAGTTTACTTTTATTTAATTTACCTACAATAGTTTAATAAATAATATTTATTAAATATGTATTTATTATTCTTATTAAGAATAACGAAGAAGTAGTTTGGTTTGGCTTTGATTCATTTTACGATGACTTGTAGAATATGAATTTTCTATAATAGAGACAATTACGGCAAATTCATTTTCTTCACTTCCAACGACAGGTTTCTGCCTAATAGGTTTTTTATAAACCACACTACCAGCTCTGCGAAATAGGACTGCAAAGTGGTTTTTTAAAGGAACGCTTATCAGGAAGATTCCTATTTTTGTATATCTTTGAGCATAAGCTCTTGAGGCCAAGAAGCAATTTTCCTCACAAAATAAGATCACTAGAAACATATTCATTCGTTCCGCCAGCAGATACTGCTTTATTTTTCTTGATAAAATAATATATACTTACTTATTAAATTATTGCAGGTAAATCTAAGTAAATTGTTATAAATTATAAATAAAAATGTCCATAAACTAATGTCGACTTTGAAAATTAATAGTTACTGTCACTAGAAAATATTGCAATGGCGACACAAGCCATCTTGATTGCAATTTGATTTAAAAATCGCGTTTTATTCAAAATCTGGACTAGACAGATATAGGAAACCCTAATATAGTTTGAAAGAGCATTTGAATCTACTTCGGTTTATTTAAAAAAATACAGGGTGTTGCATTTGAAATAACGAAGTTTTATATAAAATAAATCCTTAAAATATATCAGCAATTTTTGATACCCCTGTATACATATAAGACCCCTGTATAAATTTAAGGAAGTAATAACATTTTCCAGTAAAGTTTATTTCTCTACCTTTAAACTCAGCACAAAAATCAATGCTGAAAAGTAATGTACAGGGTGTTAATAATCTATTCTATTGTAGCTTGCAAATTTAAATATCTTTAAATATCTCAAAAACCAAAGATTTTAAACATATTTAACCCTTATAATAAATGAGTTTTTTTGAGCCCAAGAATCCAAAAATGAAATAAAATACCGGGTGTTCCATAAGAAAAAATATAACTTTGGTATGGATCTTAGTTCTGAAACACCCTGTATATTTAAAAATAATTTTTAATTGTGCACATTACCTCCCCGCATATACCCATAAAATGTTTTCTTTCTGCATCTCTCCGTTTTCGTATAATCAACGGAGGGGAATGAGGTGCGCCACCCTGTATAATACACGTCTCTTTTAGTAACCTATAATCAAAACACTTATTAATACTTATTATCTAAAGTACAATACTGTGTACATCACTAAAGACAAGATATATGCGAAATTTTTCTTTCCAATTGAAATACTTTTATAATTTCCGACCTGTAAGAATGTAGTATACCTAGTTACCGTTTCATTGTTTTTTACTTTTTAGTTTACTTCGCCATCAAGGTAAACAGATTTAAAGAAAAAAAATACTAATTATGGACTATGCTCCAAAAAAAGTCAGTTTATAGAACAGTTACAGCTAATGTTTGACATTTAAATTAAAAATACATTATTTAAATTGTCCATTCCATTCGAAAGTGTAGTAATTTTATGATTTTATATTTATTTTCTTCTAAATATTCAAAACAGAAAGCCAACGTTTTGAAAAAGCTACGTTAAAAATCTCATAATGCCTTGTGGTTTAAAATACATGTCACATCACCAAGAAAGCGAAAATAAGGTCAAGAGGATCCTCATGTTTTCTGAAAGGACGTAGCATAGAGATTGTCTGCCAGTGATGTAAAAATAGAATTTTTGAATTTTATACAGCATGAGTTTTCTACGATGTTTTCTGTGGAGACTACTGGAGATAGAGAGTCGGTTAAATGGGGAAAGAATTGCAGTTTTGTGGGGTCATATATATGCGCTTTTCAGATTTTTTAAAAAGTTCATGGCTTACTAGATATTTCGAAAAAAAAACAAAATTTGGATATTTTAAAAATGGTCCCTAATTCCATTATAATCTATTTTCAGATAAATTAAAAAGTTTTCAGATAAAAGTTGTAAATAATCACATCCTTAATCAGATTGTGTTTTACTTGTTTTTCTAAAGTATGTCATTTGACACAAACTAATGTCTTTTAAAAAGAAACCATAGTTGGCCATGACTTCATAAAAAGCGCCATTTTTTAAGATTTTGAGTGATATAAACTATAATATGTTTTTTTTCTTCGAAAAATTAGAGTTATCGCCAATTCTTATCACCTTAGTTAGCCTTGGAAAAAAGTCCAATTGTTGTTGCTCTCAGAAATGTCAAACTGTCACCTCCAAACTTTGTAAATTAAAATAACCAAAAATTGTAAATATGGATTTTTCAAATGAAGAAAAACGTGTAGTATTATTAGTTCAACTTTTCTTGGCCATACATTTTCGAGGATACGTTACATACGCTTTTTAGAGAACGCTGTTCAAGACATGTTAGAAAAGTTAAATTTAGAGACTCGCGCATCAATAAAGTGATTCCAACATGACTTTCATTATGACACTCCCACCCATAATGAAAGAAATGTTAAAAATTATTTATATCATAATTATTTAAACTCAGGGATAAGAAGAGGTGGACCAATTGCATGGGCCTCTTTGATCACCTGACCTATCTAGTTTAGATTTTTTATGCGATATATTTTTTGAATATTTTTTAAAATAACGTAAAGTGTATGTAGTGATATTATTTATTTAAGTATATAAATTATAATAATTAAATAAATAACATAATAAAAATACCATGCCAACTACGTGAAATTAGTTAAGAAAGATAAGAATTGGCTATAAGTCAGTATTTATTCGAAAAAAAAACATATTACAGAAAAACTTAAAAAATGACGCTTTTTATGAAGTCATTTAAAAAAACATAAGTTTGTGTCATATGTCAAAAATTACAGGATTTAGAAAGAAACGAGGAACACAGTCTCATTAATGATGTGATTATCTACAACCTTTATCTGAAAACTTTTTTTCTAAAATACATTATAATGGAATTAGAGACCATTTTTAAAATAGCCGAAATTTGTTTTTTTCGAAATATCTAGTAAGCCATGAAGTTTTTCAAAAATCTGAAAGGCGCATATTTATGGCCCCACAAAACTGCAATTTTTTCCACATTTAACCGACTCTCTACATCTCCAGTATTTTCCGAGATACCCATAGAGAACATCGTAGAAAACTCACCCTGTATGTAGTATAGAAGTTAAAATAATGTGGTACCAAGGCATTCTACTAATATTAATCTATAAAAATTTAACTATATAACTAAAATACATATATGTTATAAGTATATTTTTAAATAGCACAGTGTGAAATACGTGTTCATTCTACACTAACAATCCTTCGGGCTAATTCCATTTTTATTAGAGAAGGAATTATTACATGGCAGACAGAAAATAAAGAGATGGAAAATTATAAAACCGGAGTATCTCGGTTTTTCTGTGTCAAGGGAACCGTGAAACAACAAAGCGGGAGACTTTCCAGGAAATGAGAATGTTAAATTGCCGAAATTAAAGT